AACTTTCAGAGGGTACTGGCGGATCTCTGCGATGGGATTTAGAGGCGGAAATGAGTGGCTAAAGGCCGCTTGCCGAGCCACAATGACTTGTTAGTCGTTCAGGCTTCAGGCTTCAGGCTCCAAGTACTGGCGTTGGCGCCGTAGGGGTGGTTTAACCGGTCATCGTCTAGTGGGCAGGGTGGCTCGGTCACACGTACACGGTACATGGCTGGCGTGCCTTCCGGCGCCGCATGCCGCCCTGAGTGTGGTCTCGCCGATAACATGCTTGCCTAGGGCGCTCTGCATTTAATCCACCTCTGAGTGCAAATATAGCGTGCAAAAGAAATATACATATATACACTCAAAAAACATAACCTTTCTTCTACGGCAGTGGGGCACTAAGGGCCCCCGTCGAGTTCGAAACAAACACACGAGTTTTTTTATGGTATGGTAAACGAACAGACCAAAACCTCCTTTCTAAGGAGAGGCCTATGTCCAGCAGTGGACTGTTAAAGGCTGTTGATGATGATGATTGATGATGATGATGGTCAACGGTGATGGTAAGTGACTATAAGCGCCCATTTTCCGGGGGCGGAGTCATATACCATTAAAATATACAGAAGAAAACTGCCTTTCCTTATGGCAATACACCTTAAATAAATAGAGTTCCCAATACTCTTCTTAGTGTTCCGACACTGCTCAGACCCCAATAAAACACTTTATGGCCCATTAAAATTTCCCTCAGTATACTGTCCAATTCAATTTAATCTTTAAGGATATAAATATAAGCTTCATTTTATAGTGAAGATAAAAAGCCTCTTATGTTAAAAGGGTTTCAAGTACTGCGTTACTTCTGTTATTGAAGTTTTTTTAAGGTAACTTTTTATTCCTATATATGTGGACCGCAATTGTTTTTTTATGGTAGATCGTTAATTCTATGAAAACATAACCTTAAATCTAGTGATTAGGAATTCTAGGAGCTCGACCAGAGAATCAAACCTACAACGGGAATTATTTCCACCCTCAGCAATGAACATCTGAATTAAGTTATGAGGAAATTTACTTACAGCTGAAAACCACAGTATCAATTTCTCTCTATAGAAAAGAATTATCAAAGACTTCAAAGCTAAGCATAAAAACATTTGTAAAATTGATAAAGGCATAACAACGCCTGCAAAAAAAAAACATATATACAGCCAACTACAAAATTTTGCTAAGAAAACAATGTCAGGAGCTTTTAAAAATATTATTCTACTTTTTCCAATTTTTAATAAATAATAATAAATTAAAATTAATGACGAGTAAAAACTTAGAAATAAAGAAACGTTTATTTGCACAGGTGGTACCAGATTTAACAGTGGTGTATTGTTCAATTCTGTTTTATGCATGCAAATATTTACATTTAAACACAAACATTAACTATACAAAACATCAAGATATTAACTAATAAAATTAACTAAATGACAAGAAATGTTATTATATACTTAGCATATAAATTATTGTTATATCACATAATATTAAATTTAACAAGTAATCAGATACATTTGTTTTATACTGCATGTAGTCTTTTATTGTATAAAAGCACTTATCCACTAGCCATTTCCTCAACTTAATTTTTAAATATTTAAATGGAAGTTCCTTTAGGTTCTTAGGAAGTTTATTAAAAACTGATATGCCCATGTGATACACATTATTTTTCCTGATAGTTGTTCTACAAAATGGAATTATTATTTTAGTAGGATCTTCGTACACTCATACACTGCAAACTACTCAATCTCAATCAATTAAACTAGTGATTTCAACACACTGCCTACGATTGGTTAAAAAACTGTTAATTCAGTCTAAAGTAAATTTATCGCATTTGTTGAGCAAGATCTCATGATCTACAAAATCAAAAGCCTTACTATAAGTAAGGAGTACTATCAAAAGAATAGCTTTCACCGGAATTTTCTCATCCATTTAGTCAGTTATATTTTTAATAAGAGAGAAGAGGTTGATTTATTGTGTTGAAAACCATTCTGTTCATTTTTAATTGTAGTTGAAAACGCACGTTATTAATTTTAGACATCCTATCAGGTGCTAAAACAGGATTGGTCAAATAATTATACTTGCTCTTGTGGCAAGGAAAGAAATGCTTACGAGTAACACCGACTTAATCGGCTGAGGCATAGCTCTCTCATGGTAATTTATACATCTACTGACTGCCTGGTTGGGCAATGGTAGTGTATGCGACTGCTATGCTGAGGTCTCGGGTTCGATCCCGGGTCGGACCAAATGTTTGTATGATCTGCATAAATATTTGTTTCGGAGTTTAGGGTGTGTTCTATGTATGATATGGTATGTATCTACGACAAAAAAAAGTTTACAAGTATTCTATCAGTCAATTTAGCTTTCATAGTACAAGTTCTGCTTGGTTTGAAACTAGATGACATTGTGTGTCAGATGTCCTAAAACATTATTATTATTATTATTCTCTTTGTTTATTTTATGCATAGATATTAGTCTGTGTAGTGACGGATTAAGAATACGGAGTGTCACCACCCCTATTCATCCCGTGGGTATCGTAGGAGCCGACTAAGGGAGCAAACTATGCAAGACAATAACACTGCAAAGAGAAGGAAAACTTGAAATAAAGCTAAACCAACCAGTGTAGCCAGCGTGGTATGGTAGGCCAAAACCTCCTTTGTAAGGAGAGACCTATGTCCAGGAGTGGACTATTAAAGGCGGTTGATGTAATGCATACATATATTAATTAAATTATAATACATATACATATTATTTGATTTTTATTACACGCAAATGAATACAATACTTTTAACAAGAAAAACAAAACATTTTTTGTATTTTGTTCTTCTGTTCCCCTCCTGCTAATCGCCGATGTAATTAGACCAATATTTATGGGCTTTTCGCCACTTGCACTTTCCCGGCCCTATAAAAACATTTTAGGAGTTCTTTAAAGAACCATATATTTACCATATTTTTTTTTTTCTTTTCTTCTTTAAAAAGACAACTCCCGCATTAGGAATATATCCTGTGTCGCGGGGGACTTCACAAACATACATGAAACGGACACAAAGGACACCCAGACTCAGAACAACAATTTATGGATCACACAAAGTGTCGTCCCATGTGGGGATCGGACCCACAACACTCGGCGTAGTAGTAAGCGGCGTGCCGACCGCTTAAACCACTACGCCATCCGTGCAGTCGTACGATATGCATCGATATAGTTAAAAACATGTCTTCAATGTATAATATTGTTTGTAAATGTAATAATTGTAACCTCCTTTCTAAGGAGAGGCTTATGTCCAGCAGTGGACTATTAAAGGTTGTTGATGATGATGATGATGATGTTTGTAAATTGTTTGTTAATTGTAATAAAAAAAAATATTGTTTATAAAATACTTTTAGATTGTTAAGTAGATAACACTTAAAACAATAACGGCTAAAACAATCAATTATTGTTAATATTGTCTCCTTTGTGATATTCGTAACATTATTGTATTATTCTGGTATGAAATAATACATAAATTTAATTATACTTGTAAATTAATTACCGAAAAGGATAGACCGAGGGTGGTTTCACCCCCACAGATCCACAACTATAAGGCGGAGTTGGTTAATCTAATAATTTACCCGACTCACGGAAATACCGCACGATTACACACAAATACATCAACCTACTTTTACAACGAAGCAAGCAATATGAGATTAACATTTGATCAAAACATTTAATATTGATTTTGAGTATAATTTATTCTTTTTATATTTCGATGAGATTGCAAAGACCCGCTACCAATTTCTGTAGACTGTTCAATATACAAACTTTATTTTTAGCGCCAAAGATTTAAAATTCAATCATCATCACACATCACATCATCAGCCTTTAATAGTCCACTGCTGGACATAGGCCTCTCCTTAGAAAGGAGGTTTTGGCCTACTACGCCACTAAAATTCAATAGATAGACTAAAAAAACCTTTATTGTTTTCACTAGCTGACCCGCGCAACTTCGTCTGCGTCTCTCAATAGTAATAAATTTTCTCCGTTTCTGAAATATTCCTCATTGGTGCACCGCACCTATTGGTCTTAGCGTGATGATATATAGCTTATAGCCTTCCTCGATAAATGGGCTATCTAACACTGAAAGAATTTATCAAATCGGACCAGTAGTTCCTGAGATTAGCGCGTTCAAACAAACAAACTCTTCAGCTTTATAATATTAGTATAGATTGAGTAGAAACAGTTGTTGTAAGAAACCAAATAATTTAAACGGTAATTCCCTTAGATTTTGTTGAATTTTGTTATAGATCTTGATACACATAAACATGCTGTTTTTTAGGGTTCCGTACCTCAAAAGGTAGAAAAGGAACCCTTATAAGATCACTTTCTTGTCCGTCTGTCCGTTCCGACCACCGATTTTCTTAGGAACGGGTAGACCTAGCAAGTTGAAATTTATACCAGATACTGAGGTTTATGGTGCCTATTAGGAGTATAGAAATCAAGGTCCTAATTCAACACGATTAAAAGATATGGGCAAATTTCAATTTTCGCGAAAACATTTAAGTACCAAAATTTACCTTAATTTTCGCTGTTTTTATAATAAAGGGCAGTCCTGCATTTTGGTACAACTATCTTCGTAGGATCCCGTGGACTGAAGAGACTATTATCGCAGATTTTTTTGAATAGTTGTGGGTATTTCCTGACAAACAGTCCAATTTCCAAAATGAATAGAGAGCTTACAGTTAATATTTTAATTTTTCTAAAAAGCAGCTTGCAGGAATCTAGAGGTTCAGAATTGCCAATTGCCCGTTAGTATTTTTTTGGGATAGATATACTTTATTAATTAAAGTTGAATTGCCACAACAGTAAACTATATCGTAATATCCTCCTATCCCTAAAACCATATAGTATTAGGGATATGAGTAGTTAGTAATACAGACTGGGTACAGCTGGGTACAGACTGAGTACTGCTAGTTAATGATATAAATAGGATACCCTTATTACTAGGTTATGAAATAAAATGAACTCCCAAATTCTTACATCAAACTTCTATTTCTACAGATTATTCGAAGAGAACCAAGATCTGCTTAACATGTTCGAGAAGTTCCGCCAATGTCGGACGAAGGAGGAACAGATCAACTCCATGGAACTGGCGGAACACGCCAACAACGTGATGAACACTCTCGATGAAGGCATCAAGGGACTGGACGATTTGGACAACTTCTTCGCGTTCATTCACCAAGTTGGAGCGAGCCATAGAAGAATACCGGGGTTCAAAGTGGAATATTTTTGGGTCAGTATATTAAACATTTATTTTAATTTTGTAGGCTTTATTCAGCAGAAGGTTGGCAGACTTAACCGTAATTGTTTTTAAAATTTAACGACTTTATATACTTTACATGAAATGTTTAAATAGCGATAAAGCCTTCTTTGCTACCAGTACAGTCATCACTATTATTTTTTCGCGCCCGTTGCAATCTTCTGAAACTGCGCCCCGTTCTTTCTACGCTGTTTTGGTTATTTCTGTATAAATTACACCCAGACATAGAACAAATGATGGTGCTCATCACATAATTATTTTTCCTATATGGGAATCGTACCCACGACCTCAGTGTCACTAACCACTAGACTAACAGGCCAATAGCAGTTTCTATTAATGTTTTTTTTTGCTAACGAATAAAGAAAAAAATCTGTTTATCAATTATAGTGCTCCCGGTATCAGCCTATTCCTAGAATTTACTTAGATTTTTTATTACACAAAATCAATTCTATTTAAGACATAATCTCCTATTTTTTTTGGATTTGTGTCAGCCCTGCTTACCCTAGAGCCGCAAAACCTTTACATCGAAACAAATACTGCCTCAAAATTCGTAAAATTGCGAAGGAAGTATCTTTCTTTACTGCCTTTATGAAGGTGAAATGTGTTTTTAATATTTCTTTTCTTTATGCAAACTCATACTAGGTAAACAAAACATAAGATAAGAATTTTTTACTCAAGATTTTAATATAATCCCCTATCCGATATCTAACACTGGAGCAAGCATTCTCGATAAATTTTAACGGTGGCTCCAATTTGACTGAGCCAAGGGAGGCTCACTTCCCACCCCACCTAAGTAAACATTTCGTAACGTAAGATAATATTTTTCAAGTAGGTAGTTCGCGCAATAAAATAAAATATATTTGTTTAATTTTGAGAACCTTTTGTAATTGAAATGAGATTAATTTGGTGGTGGTTGCCTTTTCTAATCGACGATACGAGTATTTAGCGAGTAGTAGTAGTACCCAGCGAGTATGACACTGGAACTTCCTTACTAGTTTTTCATGCCCTAGGATCGTGAATCTGTTCTGTGTCTTTAATGTGCCGTTCCTCTTTACTGTGGGAGAGCAATGCTTCGGCACGAATGGGCCGGCTCGACCGGAGTGATACCACGGCCTCACAGAAAACCGGTGTTAAGCAATTCTTTCGTTGCCTTTCACTGAGTGAGTGAGGTTACCGGAGCCCAAATTCCCACTCCCGCTGACTCGAGCGGGAGGGACTACAAGGGCGGCAACGCACTTGTGACTTTTGAGTTGCAGGTGTCCATGGGCGGCGGTAGTTGCTTACCATCAGGTGGCCCGTCTGCTCGTTTGCCCCCTTATAACATAAAAAAAAATTTATCGTGTAATATAGTACAAAGGCCAAGCCTTAGACCTTTTTCAGATTAACAACACACTTTTTGATATTGGAACAAAACATTTGGTAACCTAAAAGATTACGGCATCTCATTTGCTGAAGGTCAACTGAGAGAGAATGTCCCACGATATTAAGTACGCCTATGCAGAAAAAATAACTATTTTATTAATTATGTCAAGTAAATTCAAGTCGTCCAAAAATATACCTTCACCACCTTCTTGTTGTGATCAAAATCATCCAAACAAAATGACACCCATATCTAGTCTTGAGGATTCGAAGTCCAATTAAAGCAAAAATTTAAATGATCCAGAAAAATAACTGGCCGGAGTCTAAATTTTCTTCTTGTTTTGACTTTCTACGTTACCACAATACAGGTATAACTTGCTGTGCTGAAGTTTTTTTTTAAATATATGTATTATGACTATAATTTAAATAGATACATAAATGTGTATGATACGAGTTAGGGACATATTCAATCAAATTCTGTCGGTTGTTAATCCGAATGGCGGTCGGTTAATTTTACTCGATCCATTTACCAAATGTTTTCAGTTATGATTGGTTTTATTGAAATTCGTTGATGGATTTTTGTTAGTTTGTATTGAGTTCATTCTCCATTCCTTTTTTGTTAAACTATTGAATCAACTGAGTTTGAAGCGGCAATTGAAATACGTAAACAATAGGCCGGGCCAATAAAACTTTTTAGGTACTACACCTAACATACACAGGTCCGGCTTTAGAAAGGAGGTTTTACCCTACTTTTCCATCTCTTTACAGTGCTGTTTTTTGCTCCTTTAGTCGGCTCTTACAACACCCATTGGATAAAATATGGGGAAGTGACACTCCGTATGCTTAACCCGTCAAAACACGGATGAAATAGTACTTACCAATACAAAATACGAGATGCTACGCTAGATACCTCTTATTCTAAAACAAATTTAGGTGATAACACAAGTGTAATCCAATACTTGGTGTTAAATAGTTGCAGGTATACCAAGGTTGTGTATGTATGATACACAACCTTGAGCCTTTTATCCCAGAAGAGGTAGCGTATTAAACGTCCTCGTTCTGCCATTTGTAATTTTAGTTCTACTCACGTAAGTCTATGAGCGTCAATCGAGAACCATTTTTTTATAAATAAACGTACCTATATATAATTCTCTTCGAGCTCTCTCTTTCCTCCGAGCCTCCGGGCTGGGGCGCAATGTCCTTTTTCTGTAAAGATGTAATGCTCCACAAAAAGACCGCTGAACGGGATCGGGAGAGGGCCGACTGGACCACAGGCCGCCAGAGAGTACATGTTGGCGGCCTGATTTCATCAAAATGCGATCGGGTCACAAGACATAGTGATCGGCGAAGGGAAGCCTGTGGCTTCCCTCGCGATAAAGCTTAGTAGGTGCGGCATCGATCCGGGAGGGACCTGAAACCACATGGTCCAAGTCATCCTCAGAGTAGGACGCCTTAGGCCAGCTTTCGGGGTGTTTATTAGTGGTACCACCACACTCCTAGCTCCTGCGTCCCCTAGGAACTGGGCATCCGAAGGGATTTTCCGTCAACAAAAAAAAACGGTACAACTAATACGGGATTAGTAGTAACTATGTTTATGATGATGCTAATAGATATTTCTATAAAATTGCAGCAAATATTTATCTACTGCTTGTTGGTGTATTGGTTAGGGTAAGTCTAAGACGGTTTCGATCCCACCCGGGGCAACTAACTGTGTTATAAGCACGATCATTTCTTCTGAGTCTAGGTGTAATTTATCTGTAATATGTATGAATGTGGAAATATATAAGTATATTAATCAGCTATCTAGTTACCATAGTAGAGGATCTGCCTAGTTTGGGATCAGAAAGCCGTGTGTAAAATATAATTTATTATAAAAGTTGTATCTGTTAATAAACCCAAATGAAGCATACGACCGAAAAAGATCTGACTTATTCGTATGAATAACTTTGAAAGTACAATAAAATCTCTTGAAGTTGGGCCACCGAAAAGTCCTATGTAACATATTACATTCGGCAAAGCCATTCACAGGCCGCCGTGGTTGGTCGCAGCTGGCATTTACGGCTCTATAACTAGGGTTGGGGTGGTGGCCAGTTGTAAATATGTAGGTACATATTCACAACTCAAGGGTACTCACAAACGACACAAGGAGAAGATGGGTGTTTGACACTGAACCGAACTCTTTACCGTGAGGAATGTTTGAAATCTAAAGGACTTATTCTCGTAATAAAAATTCGTTGAAAATTCAGTTCCGATCTACTCTCGGTCTCACAATTGCCTTAAAAGGTATTCTCGTAGTAAAGTATTACTAGGACTAGCGGAATACCGATTCAACTTTCGGTGACAATACGATATAATCCCATCACAGGCCAGACGGGTATAGGGTTTGTGTCAAGTTTTCATTTTCTTTGCAGTGTTGTTGTCCCACGTAGTTTGCTCCCTTAAGCGGCACTTACGACACCCACGGGATGAATAAGGGTGGTGACACATATTTTGACTAAAGTGTAGAGTTTATGAAGTTAGTGCTTGTAGAGTTAGGTCGTGTAGAGTTAGAAGCTTGGCTCTACATGAGGTCTGATAACTTTTTGACAGTGCGAGGCATATGATCAAGTCTTGTCAACATTTTACATGTAAATGTTTTTGGTGGAATTATGAAATTAACGACAAGTTCTACTTAGATGGGCAATCCGCTTATCGGCGGTATACGTCCTCTTCATTCCTCTATCTACGTTTCGTCTGTAGACTGAAAATCAATGGCATTCATGTCACTCCTCCTAAATTAAAATATGCCATTTTTTTAAATATTAGGTACTTAAAATTTACAAACCAACGATTTTAATTATAATAATTTTGAAGTCCCCAGCGTTGCTACTCGCTCTCACTATTAACACCAAACTAACTAAGAAACTAAGGTTGCTAATATCTTCAGAAAACTTGACTTTGAAAATCCCGAGGCATTCTACGACTTCTATGGACAACTAATTTACTGTGCAAGCTATACGTTTGTGGAATGCATTCGCTAGCTATAAAAAAAATTGAAGTAGCATTTCCTAAATTATTGAGCGATGACGACCCCGATGTCCTTGAATCCTATATGTGCCTACATTATATTCCTGTTTTTTCAATGTATCCGATTTTGTGTAGTGTATATACATGTCTAATAATGTATATGTGTGTTCAGTATGCTTATTTATATGAGTTTGTTAGTGTTAATTATATCGTACTGCAAATTGTAACTCTCCATGTCATTCTTAATTACCTTCTCCATCCAGCGGTTGCCTGAAAGAGCTCGTGATAAGGCCGCCAATTGTACAACTTTTTTTTACAATATATAATCAGTTTTACTTTCTTTGTGCAACTGTCCCTAGATCATAGGGCTCATACAAATGTATACAAACTGTTCTATTATTATGTTTTTTTTTCTTGTACAATAAACAGTTACCTATTTATCTATATAACAAGATAGTAGAGTAAAAACCAGCCAAGTGCGAGACGGACAAGCGCACAAGGGGTTCCGTACTATTATCTAAAATCTATCTATAAAAACGGCAAAAAAATCATGTCTGTTGTATGTTCAAAATTTCTTTTATTCTGTTTTTAGTATTTGTTGTTATAGCGGCAACAGAAATACACCATCTGTAAAAATTTCAAATGTCACTATCACGGTTCGTGAGATATAGCCTGGAGACAGACGGACAGACAGATGGTCGGACAGCGGAGTCTTAGTAATAGGGTCCCGTTTTAACCTTTGGGTATAGAACCCTAAAAATGAATAAGTGTGCTCATAGTATGTACAGCGCCAGATGTAGACTCGGAACTACTGAAGTAGTTCAGGGCGATAGGAAATCGATCAACGTTAGTGGTGGAGTGTAAAACTTTGTCGGATGATTGATGCAGTGGCACTGAGGGTCTGTAAGAAAACTAGTTGCTAATCCATTATCTTCTTTTTAGCATTATCGAGGGATGAAAGTTATAGCTGTGTGCTGTAACAGGATATAAAGACAGTAAAATTATAGCCTTCAATTATTAGTTCTCTCTCTCACTCTTGTAAGTTAATTCTCACACATGTTATACACGACCCTCGGATACGAAACTAGGCAGAGACTGTGCTATGTTCAGCAGCAGTACTCAATATATATTTAAATACACACATATTATAGACTTATTATTGACCTAGTAATTAAAAAAAAAATCGACTTTATATACATATGAAATGTTAGAGACCGTTGCAAGCTTCTGTAATGGCGCCCCGTTTTGGTTATTTCTGTATAAATGACATTCAAATACAGAACAAATGATCGTGCTCATCACACAATTATTTATAGAAGGTGGGACTCGAACCCACGACCTCTGGATTAGCCGTTACTACCCGCCAGATAGTTCTTATATCACTATTAGTCAAATAGTTCTTTGTAAAAAGTAACCCTAATTGCTAAACGATCTCTGTCGTGGGTACGATGCCCACCCAGGGCAAATTATAATGTAATGAGCAGGATCAATTGCTCTGTGTCTGGGGGAAATTTATGCATAATATGTATGTATATAGAAATATATAAGTATGCTGATAACCATGCAGTCTGGTAAAAATGTGTCTCATCATTATCATCAACAGCTTTTACTAGTCCACTGCTGGACATAGGCCTCTACTTAGAAAGCAGGTTTTGGTCTACTATACTACGCTGGCCAGACGGGTTGATATTAGGGTTTGTTTCAAGTTTTCCTTCTCTTTGCAGTGATGTTTTCCTGCGTAGTTAACTGCCTTAGTCGGCTCTTACTTCATCTACTAGATGAATAGTGTTGACACTCTGTATTCTTAATCCGTCACCACACGGGATTATGAATGGAAGAAAGGAAGGAATATAATGGAAGGAAAATGTGTCCAGTTATTATTATTAATACATACAGTAGAAGTTAAACTGCTATTGTGTAGCGCCTTTTAATGCACGTTTTCTGGAATGAATTTATGTAGTTATTCGATCATAAATAATGTATTTCTGCTCATTAATAATTGTAATAGCAATAGCATTCATTAATCATTTCATTTAATGAAATCAAAGGTTCATTTTGAATCGATGTCTCGGTTGAATACCCATTAGTCCGCGCCGGTTTGTGTATTGATTTATGCAGATAGCTTTTTATTAATATTTCTCACTTAACTTTTATAGATTTATGAATTAAATATGTTATTCCAAGTCAGTAATTTTGGTGATATTTATGACAATATTTTGATGTAAAACAAAATTTTATAATTGTTTTGTTTTGGCGACTCGGGAGAGTCTGACTGAAACTATCTGAGTTAAAGTAGTGGTGGTGACGTAGGTAGGTTCTCAACGACCCTCAAATAGCTATTGCAAGACCAAATTTTAGAAAGATATAATAATATATACAAGTATGGGTGTGTCTACACACAGAATTAAAATTATATAACCCTTAATAGGTAAAGCGTCTCCCAGGATACGTTAGTTAGCGAAAGTGCGTGGCACTCTGCCGTCTCCTTCTGCGAGCAAGTTATGCTTGTGAAGGAGATGGCGGAGCGGGACCGGTAGAGGATTAGAACTCTCCCGGCCCACCAGGCTCGGGAACGGGCCTGAGAGGCTTGCGGTTTTAGTCGGTTCGAGTCCGACATTGCCACCGGTAAGTGGTATCCGAGGGGATTTCCGCACAGGAAAAAAAAGGATACGTTAGTTATAAAAAACTATATATGTACATTTATAATTATTAAAGATATCTTGAAGTTTAGTAAAAAATACATTGAGCTGTCAATCCTGAAATCTATCTAGACTCTAATAATAATAGAATCTAATCTAGACTGCACGGATGTCGTAGTGGTTTAAGCGCTCGCCACGCCGCTTCCTATTACGCCGAGTGTTGTGGGTTCAAACCCCACATGGGACAACACTTTGTGTGATCCACAAATTGTTGTTCTGAGTCTGGATGTACTTTGTGTCCGTTTCATGTATGTTTGTAAAGTCCCCCGCGACACAGGATTTATTCCTAGTGCGGGAGTTGTCTTTTTCAAAAATAAATCTATATCAAAATGATGTCGAGGTGACGACATGTTGCTCTGGCTCGGGTAAATTTTTACTTTATTTCCAATAAACTTTGTACTTACCAACTTTTATTTATTTGTGAAAATACCAAGCAATGTATTATAATAAAATTTGATATCTTTTAATTCAAATCGAAAACATTATGGTATAGAATTTGTGTATGTACCCCGTGGTTCGCGTTGCCAAGTTAAACAAAAATTACTGGTACTGGGTACTATGGTACCCGTTATCTAAAATCAATAATTTTCATTCAACTCAACTTCATTGGATTCTTCTTATGAAAACCTTAAAACTTTAGGTAGTGACGAAGATATTGTGGGGACCGCTTATGTCATCGATCAAATGTACCATTAACGCCCACTTTGGATGAAGGCTGTCCATTCCCTTCAACAAACAACTATGATACCTTTCCTACATTGAACTCTATACAATCATTGCCTTTACACCTATCAGCCATTACACCTGTCACCTATCACACCTCTTACTAGACGTAATATAAATTCCATGGTTGCTATACAAGAGAAAAATAAAGCTAAACTATCACTAAAAGATTTTCAATATGATATTTAAGAAGCATACGAGTTGTTAGGATACTATTACATGAGAAACAAACACAGTGGAAAGAGACGAGGGGAAAAAAATACAGAAATCAAAACCTGCAACTAATAAGCCTTCGAATAGAATTCGTTTTGATAATATTTTTTTTAAATATTGGCTTGTCCGTGTGTAGTGACGGATTAAGAAAACGGTGTATCACCACCCCTATGCATCCGTGGGTGTCTCAAAAGACGACTAATAGAGCAAACACGCAGAAAAACAGCACTGCTCATCGAAGGAAAGCTTGAATCAAACCTTATACCAAAACGTCTTGTCAGGGAGATAAAATAGGCCAAAACCTCCTTTCTAAGGAGAGGCCTATGTCCTGCAGTTTCCTGCTAATGGTAATGATTTTAAATATTGGACCACTTTCCTGAAATTGAGGATAAAAAAGGAAGATGACGTTAATGTAATGAGCGCCTTTTCCTCAGGAAATAATTACTTTTTCCAATATATATTTTTTCTAAAAGATTGTATTTTCTTACAAATTGGAAGCGTATACCGCAGTACCCGTGACTGAGCAACAGCTCTTCATAGAGTTGTTGACAATGGAAAATCTTGAATTTTGTTAAGTATTTTTCCCACTATTCAGGGATGATAATCAACCAAGAAAATACTTAAAAGCAATGCTATAACAAAATACTATATCTTGCCAATTCAAGGATTAAACCAGTAAAGTTTTACTAGAAGAGAAAAGTAATTAAATTTTCACGTTTGTTAGTCTAGAGGTTAGTGGCCCCGAATGCTGAAGCAGAGGTTAGATTGAGTTCGATTTCCAGCAAGGACAAATCTCCCCAACTTCCCTCTCAACGACCTTTAAGAAAAACTGCATCATCGACTTGAATGATAACTAGTTTTTATCTTTAAAAAAACCTATTCAGTAAAGGTTTCCAATAACTTAGAAGTTTTTTATTTGCTCAAGTCCTAACGATCAGGTATTGAGCTAAATTTTAACTTGCCAAAACATAACCATTGACACGTGGTGTCGTGAAGAATAAATGAAAAGGTTAGGTACCGGAGATTACGGGCAAAGACGTGTTCCGGCATCCGGAGAATACACAGTATGGCTTGGACCCATGTTAGATATTTAAGTAGTGGCTAATGAAATATGAACTTTATGTAGAAAGTATACCAGTTAAAAGCAATTTGGGCCCCGAACAACTATACTTTCGACTAAATTGAAATCTAAAGCAGTTTTAATTATAACTATATTTAGATTAGGTCAGGTTAGATGTTTTTATTGGCAACCATCTAAAATTTAGTTTTAGTTGATGTTATAATGATTTTAACTAAGAACGTTAGTCTAAAACTACAATTAACTGGCTTTATTTACTTTTCAAGAAACACGAAAACTGTCTTATAACGTCAATTGCATTTTGAAACGATACTATGTCGTATCAAAATTTGAACTCCAACTTCTGCATCGATTGCAGAACTTTTTAAGTTTTTGAAGCGTTTACGAACCAACTTAAACATCTATATACATAGATAATGTTATAAAATCTTGTTTGAGAACACTGTATTAAATACGAAACCGAACAATATGTCAAGTGATTAATGTTGGTTTAATTATATTTTTTCTTTCACAGAAAATCGAAGCACCATTCCTAGCAGCAGTGGAGTCCACGCTGGGTGATCGCTACACGCCAAATGTGGAGAATATATACAAAATCACCATAAAGTTTATATTAGAAACTCTCATAGAAGGCTACGAGAAAGCCGGCAATAAACCTAACTCCACGTGAGCTCAACTATGTACAGTACAAATCGTTGAGAAACAGAACTGGAAAGTACCGAACAGATATTATATTGTAGAATGCGGCTAAAGTTTTAAACGGAACAAATAAAAGCGTTTGAGACTTGGAAAATGGAAATCACCGATTCCGAATACTCCGTTGTTCGTTCCAAAGTTTTCCGGAGTATTACTGGTAATAAATTATGTCAATTTAATGAGATTTGTAAGTGAAGTGTACAGACGTTTATAAATGCATCATGAATTGTTTATAATGTGAATAATTATAATTATTGTGTATAGTTGTCACTGTTATTTTTCGGTCGTCTGTATTTAGACTGGTATAGTATGGGACTAAATGTTCTAATTAGGGACGCTTTTTGAATAGTTGTGTAATTTTAATTATAGAAACAAAATGTAGATAATATAGTAAAAAGATGTGTGTTTAAATTAAGAAATTTTAAACCAAATAACTTTTATAAATGTCACAAAACGCTTGTTAGAACTAATTTATTAATTAATATATTTATTTCTAATGATATTCTTCTTAATGTTCTGTGAGTTGGCTGGTCCATCGATCTTGTTGTATACTTAATTAATTATAGTTTTTTTTTAATTTAACTATTCGGCATAATTATTGTTAAATTGCGTCTTCCGTGAGTGAGTGTTGTAGTAGGATATAAGCATAAGTTTCATGTCAAATAATTTCGTTTAGCCATCAGTTTACAGCCAAATTTCTAACTAAAGTACTAGTGACTAAAATTGGTCTAAATTTGTCGAAACATCGAGAAGGCAAAGGTGTGTCTTTATATATAGAAACTAACTTACTGACCAGAATTACTCGAATAGTCATTGTAATAGACTCTCCACACCATAATAGGTCCATATATTTGACAGGTTTTGCTTGCTTGATGTACCTGTTTTGACATTTTTTTAAGTTTATAACACATACTAAGTACTTAAGATTTCACAATCCTCTGTCCGCGAAATTTGCCGAAAAAGATATGTTAAATATTATTCATCTGTTCACATATAGATATAAAGTCACATTTACAAGTTATCGAAACTTATATCAAACTGTGAAAAATAAAAAATAAAAAATTAAATTTATTAATTATTTTAGCCCCGTTTCATTTCAAATGTCAAATAGCGCAAACAAAATGCACAAAATATCTTTGATATTTCTTTACTAATATTGAAAAATCTTTTTTCTACGGTAACTATGTATTTATGCACAAATCAGATGATTTTTCTATCTTGATATATTTTACTAGGTATACACTGTTTCCAAAACTACCTAAATTTTAGAAATATATGTATCTATCTACTTAACTATTTTCTACATTTGTAAACTTTTAGATGACTTAATGTTTATTATTAAGTCATCTAAAAATAAAATATAAAAATCACAGAATATCAACATAAAGATTTAACATGTTAAAATCTCAATTAATCACATTTATTAATATAAAAATGTGCTCAAAACTTAATGTACTATTAATTATGTACCTATTGTATTACTTGAAAATTTTAATTTGATATTCCGGAATAATTTGATATTTGATTTGTGATTTGTGAATAATTAAATATCTTGTCTGATCTTCACTTGTCCTTTTGTATCAACATGAATTTTACTATTTCGAAGTCTTCATTCGAAGTCGTCATTTTGTATTCTTCAGTTTAATATCACCACATTAAATTAATAAAAGTGTGGCTAATAGTATTTACGATATTTATAATTACATTACGGACTATACCTTCAGGAGTTATGCGCTCGAAGCGGTGGCGTATTGTAGTGTATGATTTTTTACACATTAATTGATCCGAATTAATACTATTTATAGTTTAGAGAAAGATTTTATCTTTATCTTTTTATTACAATAAAGGAATTAAAACCATATAACATTCGTAGAAGTCTAAATTACATTATTTAAATTTTCATTTCAACAACGTACGTGAAAGTAGAAGTGGAATAACCTTACGAAAACCATAGACCTTTATAAGTTCTTCTGGAACTTTCCCAAAAGTACGAAGAAATCGAAACTCCTCTCTCAATTTCTTAACGTGAAGAAGTTTATCGTTAAATACGTAAATATGAAATTTCCGTGGTTTAACAGTTTCCTACTAAAACCAATTTGACGTGTATCAATCAACATCAAATGTAGGCAATTTATTTACACAAAGCTTTCAAGTTAATCACGCGTGGGCTGCGCACCGAATGTTAAGAAGTTTCGACTTTATTTAAATAAATATTTTCAGTATCGGAAAATTAATTTTGTACAACTTCTTAAAACTGTATCTACTCCTCGTTCTAAAGGTTAATTCGTTGCTAGGGCTAGGATCTTTTTAAAATTTAGTACCCCGTGATTCGAAGAAAACAATGGCTATTCTCAATCCGCCGTTCACAGGCAAGCAGTCTTACAAACCCCTTTCGTCTCTAAGGGCAGAGAATATTCATAAGAATCATCCATTCCGGTAATACTAATATCGGAGCCCAAGTAGTGAAATAAATTGAAACTATATTTATTTCTGCAAGTAAATCTTTACAGATATTTTTACAAGTCGGAGTTTTTACAGTTTTAATCTTCTGTGTACTCCACCTCTCATTCTAGGTTGAGGGGTACACAGCGCGGCAATGCTTTTAGATCTATATAGTTAGTTCTAACCTTATTTTATTTGAAAAGTTTATCCACATTTTTGTACAAAGACGTAATTAATATCCTGGGTAATCAATACTGTTTTATTATGTACCTTTTAAGGTATAACCCTCACAAATTAATAAAGTAATTCAACATTAATGAGGCATTCAAAAATTAATTGCTGAAACGATAATATGAATCATTAAGCTTTGAAATATTTGTTACGTTTGGAACGGTAAATTATTTAATGAACGTGATTGATTGTCCCGATAAATTAATTATCGGAGGTTTGAGGGTAGCTGGAAGTTTTACTCTAAAATATTTAATGATTTATGTAATTACAAACATTGGAGAAAGCTAAAAGTAATACCAGTTTTGGTATTGGTAATTTTGTGTTAATGTTAAATTAATACCATAATTAAATTCAAATAAGGTCGGTTTTTAAGTCACAGTCACTAGCTTTTATGACTTGCCATAGTATCGATTCTATCAATTGTTTCGGAATGAAAAGTCTGTTATCGTCTGAGAGTCAGGATATGAGCAGTTTTTTATTGCTTTTCACCGAGTGAGCGTGCTTACCAGAGCCCAAATCCTCCCCTTCCAGCTCACTTTGGGGAGACGGACTGAAAAGGTGGCACTTATGACTCCTGAGTTATAGGTGTCCATGAGCTGAGGTAGGTGTTTGCCTCCCTATACGAAAAAAAGAGTATTATTTTTTATTAATACTCTATCTCTGTGCCAAATGCCAATCCAGATTCCTTTAGCTGTTCGCAATCAACATGTATCAAAGCTTTCACGTCTATTTTAGTAGTAAGATTGAAAAAACACATAAGTCCTTTCTATCCAAAGCATATAAACCTTTATTGTTTTTAATTTCAGAACGGCGACTATTAATTTCATCTAACATAAAAAGTAAAAAAAAAAAAAATTACGTTTGTCGCATAACTTTGACCCAAGTCCAAAGTCGGCGAGTTACTTTGATGAAATAAAATATCTAACTAAAACAAAATGGCATGACCCCTCGGGACTGCCAACACATTGATTTCAATGTGAATTTTTGAACACATTGATTTCAATGTGAATCTGTTCTGACTTTTCGATGTCATTGTATGCCGTTGGGAGCTAAAATATTGCAGACGACACTTGATATTATTACTGTTACAAACGTTATGCGACAAAGTTTGGATGGATATTTATTGTACAGATGAACCAGATCGTCCAGAGTGTTACCACGGCCCCACAGAAAACAAAAGTGAAGCAGTTCTGTCGTTACTTTCCACCGAATGAGTGAAGTTATTATCCAGATACATTGTCATGGGGCAGATAGAAAGCTGGTACTTCAATTTCATTACATCAACAGCCATCAATAGTCTACTGCTGGACATAAGCCTCTCCTTAGAAAGGAATTTGTGGCTTTATTTTTACAACGCTGGTCAGACGGGTTGGTATAAAGTTTCGTGTCAAGTTTTGCTTCTCTCTGCAGTTCTGTTGTTCTGCGTAGTTTTCTCCCTTAGTTGACTCTTACGACACCCACGGGATGAATAGGGGTGGTAACGGTTCTTATTCTTAATCCGTCACCACACGGACCACGGCTATCAGGTATAATCGATTATGTTGATAAAACGAAATTGAAGTCCTAATACCAAACCGTACAGTGTGTCTGGTAACTTTATTATTTATACCGTTTGAGAATTAAATTTTGATTGTGGGATGAATATGGAATATATCGGTATTTGATCATATTATGTTTACTTAATCGATATAGTTAGGTGGCTAATCTGCACAAACATACATTATTTGTTTATAATACAAATAATGTTTCAATTTATTTAAATAGAATTGAGGTCCATCCGCCTTTATTCATAACAATTATTTTTCTAGAAATATTTAAAACATTTATTTGGTTGGTTTTGCAAATAATTAAAAAAAAAACGAAACAAACAAAACAATACACTTACTCGTACAACACTACTTTTATTCAATATGATTCTTTAAAATTGTTATAATGAAAAGCTTAAAACTATTGAAAAGTAATGCCGAGAACAGCCCTTCAACTCTAAAAATAAAATACTTTTTATAAATAGCTACAGTAAGGAAATTCCTCACGCATTAATCGAAACTGACGTCATAACTCACCTCAGTACTTGCCAACGGTATCTGTCGGCTTTCAGCAAAATATTTACAAAGATGCTGACCGAGTTTGGTTCAATAATGGCTTAACGTTATTAATTAGTAAGAACTCATGGACGCAAATCTATACTAATATTATAAAGCTGAAGAGTTTGTTTGTTTGTTTGTTTGAACGCGCTAATATCAGGAACTACTGGTCCGATTTGAAAAATTATTTCAGTGTTAGATAGCCCATTTATCGAGG